AACTTACTTCTTCTTCTTATATATATATATATATATATATATATATATATAATAGGAACCCCACCGATCCACATTCACCTCTATTTAGATTTCTATATTTATACCCATCACTCCAAAGGCCACCATTCTAGACGGCTTCAGCAGGAGCCATCACGTCTGTCCGTTACGGTGCACACTCACGGCGGCACTCCGTCATCGCCTTCCCCCCCCCTCTGTGGACTCCCCGCTGTTGGCCTCCCGATGCTGAGCCCTTCCCATCTTCAGGAGAAAAAGCGCATCCTCGCGCGGGAGGAGGCTGCGCCGGCCCTGGAGACGCTCTTTGACCTTCTCCTCCGGGGGGGGGTCTACAGCCTGCTGGAGTTCCTCGAGCACGAGCTCCCGCGCGACCTCGAGCCCATCTCCTGGGAGTCCTGGCGGAGCTCCCGCAAGGACGCCGCCAGGCCCCCCCCGCGCATCAACCCGGAGTGCCTGCGGACGGTCCTCAAGCGCTGTGGGGTGCTGCTGAACCCGGCGGACTACCGGCTGCTGCTGCGGGCCTACGGCGACGCCGTGGGCTTCGTCCTCGTCGAGGAGCTCGTGGAGGCGCTCAGCCCTCTACGCCGGCTGCCGTTGGCGGTTTTTCACCAGATCCAATCCGCCCTCCGCATCGACGGCGGCCGCGAGGTCGCCGCGATCACGCTAGACAGCCTCATCGGGGCCTTTCTCCCCGCCCTCCTCGGCCCCCTCGAGGCCACCGCAAACCCGGGGATCGCCAACCGCGACGGCAGCGTCGGGGGCGGGGCGGAAAACGCGCTGGAGGAGATCCTTCGCGCGGATTTCACCGAGGCCGAGCGCTGCTTCGCCGCGTCGAAGTTCCCGGACGGGGTGGTGCCCCTCCGCACGGTCTGGCTTTACGTCTCGGGGCTACTTTTGATGACCCTTCACGATCCTCCGACCTCCGACGAGGATGCCGCGCTGGGGTCGATCCTTTTAGACCGTTTAGACTACATCTCCCGCGCGACGTCCTCACTTTTAGTTTCCTCGGAGGCGTCGTTGTCAGATCGCGCGCCGGACGCGACGGGGACGTTGGGCTCACGCCGCGAGCGAAAGTTCGAGCGCTATGATGAGCGCGACCGCTTGGATGAATGGCGGATCGGGCGGGAGGAGCGAGGGGCGCGGGATGGCTACCTTCGCCACGTCGTCGGTTACGCCGGACACCTCCCGTCGTTTAAAACGCACTTCGGGCGGACTTTTCACGTGATCGAGGAGGATCTCCCGAAGCTCACCCAGCCGCGTCCGCCAAAGCCGCCGCTTCCATTGGATGCCTATGGGCCCGCTATTAAACTTCAATATAACCGCATGAGTGAGCACCACTTCAAGTTTAGCTGAGTGGAGCTACAATAATATATATATATATATATATATATATAA